GCGCTCAAACACTAACAAACTGACAAGATCTTTCACTATCTATAGCTGGGTACCCATTCCCACCTGGGTGAAGTGGGGAAAATTCGTGTAAAGTGCCTTTCCCAAGAATACACCGTCGGGCCTTGCGGCTCGAATCCCCGAACCCGCAACCTCACGATTACGAGTCCGGTAGCTTAACCACTAGACCACCAACATATACAAAGAAGGATACCTCACTGACTCTATGCAACAACCCGGACGCTGTTCCACTTCCATACTACAAATTATGGGTTTTTTTAAACTTATGCACCCGTCTCATGTTCACGTTTTATATACTTCTTTTCTAGTAGTGCTTTCCATGCTAAACACGAGGTCTTCATTTTTGCCGCAAATCAATAGTTATAGAGTTATTGATGTTTGAAAATAGTAAATTTAACAATATGGGGGGTTCCCTCACCTAAAAAGAATCTGGGGGGTTTCAGGGGGCCCCCACCCCCTGCATTTCACAATGATTTAATGTTTTGGCAATTAGGATTGATATTTACCTAAAAACAATTGATTTGCAAGGGTTTTAGTGGCCATACGTGTGTTCTAAAACTTATGCAAAACTTATGGCAGTTTAGCCCTCAAATCAATGCATCAATTGCATTTATAAAGTGCATGTATCATCCCAGAAAACCCTAGAACACGACTCAGAAACATTCACGTCTTACTGGAAAGTAAACATGCAGCATACTCTCATAAGGTAGAAACTGGTTATGTTTGTTAACACGCATGCGAAAAAACAATCAATCTCCATGAGCAGTAAGTGCGGTATTCAATACGTAAGACATGTCAACAAAATCAAATATGGCCGGCGTATCCATGGAAACAAAACTTGTTTTCTCAAATTTGATTGCGGATTTTAAGACTCCTTACTATGATTGTTATGTGTGTGAAATTTGGTAACATTTGGTCTAGTAAAAAGCGAGATACTTTTCAGGTGTAGCCCCCCCCTTTAAAGAATGGCCCGGGTCCGAGGCTAGACGTCGGTCAGAGATAGTATAAGAACGTATAGGTCCTAGGTTTGACGGTCAGAGATAGTATAAGAACGTATAGGTCCTAGGTTTGACGGTCAGAGATAGTATAAGAGACGTA